GTCTAGCTAGTGTTTCACACAGGAGCACCCACTGAGTCTAGCTAGGACTGCACACAGGCGCACATGTGAGAGGTTATTTACGTCACAGACACTTTACCTGCAGCTACACCACTGAAGAAAACCTAACACCTATTATCAAGGTATTCTGGCAAATAGTCCACAAAGAGCAAGTCTGAACATTGGCCTGAGAACAGCCTTACCCTCAGTTTTCTCTGGGTCATGGCTGTTTCCAGGGCAATTTCTCTTAGTGGATCTCTGGAGATGTCAAGCATGGAAGCTTTGATTGTATCCCCTGGATACAGGCTCAGCCGAGACTGCCGGAGAGCCATCCTGGCTTGCAGCTGCATCATTTCTTCTTCTTGCCGCTTCAGCATCATCTCTTGATTGATTAAGCTGCCTTCAAGGGATGTGTCGTACTGTCTAATACAGAGAAAAGAGACGGGCAGTACAGGCTGTCAGGAAAACGTGGTTCAAGGCTAACATGGAAAACTTCGTATCAAGAAAGGTATCAAGAATGTAAACATTTACTTATTTTTAAAAACTTATTAATTAATGTATATATTTGTGTACCTCTGTGAGTTTATGTTCACCACATGTGTGCAAATGCCTGCGGGACCAAGAGTTCTAGCTCTCCTGGAACTGGAATTACAGGGACTTATGAACTACCTAATTTGTGTGTGTGTATGCGCATCCAGTTCCTGATAAAATTATTATAATTTCTGTAATTTTCTGAAAGAGAAATAATAATCTTTGTCCTAATGTTTGGTCTTTGAATGTGCTTCCTGTTATATCTCCTTATAAAGAAAACAAAACAAACAAGCACTTAAGATTTCCAGGCTGAGTCTCTTGCTCCTGATATAGAATTCTTGAATTCCTTGGCATCTTCTGGAAAACACGGTATTCTACTGTAGCAAAGAAAAGTTGGTGGTTTCTAGAGGAGGTAGTTTCTAGTGGGGGTAGTTCTAGCGGAGGCTGACCCAGAAAGAGAAGCGCACCCTACAACGATCGCTCCACACTTGACTGGAGACAGAGTTAGTAATCAGTCACGCTCATGAAATGACGCTTCCATTAAAGTCCTAATCCACTGTAACACACTGCTCAACTATGTTCATAGCAGCTTTGCTTGTCATAGCCAGAACCTGGAAACAACCTAAATGCCCCTCGACCGAAGAATGGATAAGGAAAATGTGGTACATTTACACAATGGAGTACTACACAACAGAAAACAATAACGACATCTTGAAATTTGCAGGCAAATGGATGGAGCTAGAAAACACCATATTGAGTGAGGTAACCCAGACCCAGAAAGACAATTATCACATGTACTCACTCATAAGTGGCTTTTAGACATAAAGCAAAGCAAAGCCTTAATTCACAACCCTAGATAACCTAGACAACAAAGAGAGACATAATGGTTCTAATCTACATGGGAAGCAGAAAAAGACAAGATGGGAGCATGGGGACCTTGGGAGAGGGCTGAAGGGGAGGGGAGAGAAGGGAGGGGAGCAGAGAAAAATATAGAGCTCAATAAAAACAATTTTAAGAAATAGTGGCATCCTAGTCTACATCCTGTTCTGTTGTATTTTCATGTACTGCTCTAATGCTGCCCCACAGGGTGGACCAGTACTTGACCATTCTAGGGACATTCCAGCATCCTCTGATGATTTGCTTTTCCTGTGGTTCCCTCAGACAGGGACTGTGTTATTCCTATGGACCTAAACCATGAAGGTCATCATTCTGCATAATTCTTACGTGAGTACATGTGAAGACCGAAGGTCAACCTCGGGTATCGTTCCTTATATGCTGCCTATTGGTGGGGATAAAGCTTGCTGAAGATCAGAGTGCAGAGCTAACCACTAGTTAGCCATAGAGGCCAGGCAGTGGTCCTTTAATCCTAGCACTAGGGAGGTGGAGACAGGAAGAGATATGGCTGGGCGGAGAGAGGAATCTAAGGCAGCAGACAGAAGCTCAACACATTCAGGCTGAGGACTTGTAGAGACAGATACCCCACTCGGTCTGAGGATTTCATAGATGTAAGAACTAGCGGCTGCTGCTCTGTTCTGTGATCTCTCAGCTTTCACCCGCTAACATCTAACTCGGGGTTTTTATGCTGAAGACCAATTAGATTCATGCTACACCTATCTTGTTTTTTGAGACAAGGTCTCTCAACAGGACCTAGGCTTGGCTGATCTGTCAAGGCTGGCTACTAGTGAGCCCTATGGGTCCACCTGTGCATGCCTCCCCAGAGCTGAGAGCCAACAATGTACCACACCAGGCTTTGGTCAGAGGTTCTTGGCATCAAACTTAGACCCCTGTGTTTGCACAGCGGATGCCTTGCTCACTGATTCATTGCCTCAACCCCTCTGCTTAATTCAGCTTCAGCTTCCAGACCTCCTGACTCCTTGGCGAACCCCAGCTCCCTTTCAGTACAGACCACGGAATAACGCCTGCTAGTGTGCTTTGCTGCAGGCATGAACCGCTCTGTGGGCTGCTCCCCTCCATCAAAGACAGAAGCATCTCACTCGTCTTTACCTTGTTTCTTCTTGGAACTGTTCTCGTCACTGTTCATGGTCATGGTCCGTGGACTTGGGAGTCTTCTGATACTCTGACCCCTCTCTTCGATAGAACTCACTGACTCTATTCTCTATTTATCTAACCTGATTCTGCCTTCCGTGCTCTCATCTCCTTGGTCAGTCAACCCACTGACTCCCCTACCGGCTCCAGCACTGTCGTTCCTGTCATTCTGTCCTCTTGCCCTGCCCGGCTCAGAATCTGAGGTCCATCCATCAGTGCAATTACTCCTTGCATATGACCTCACCCCCTGGCCCACTGCTCCAGGGACCCTCCTTCACACTGCCTCTCCTGTCTTCTTAAAAGCTCCAATATGCCCTCCTCCTCTTCCCTTCCTTTTGTCACTGAAACAGAAGGCAATGCGAGTGCCCTCCCTGTAATGCACACCTTTACCTTGACATTTCTAAACCAAAGCCATTTTACTTCCTTCCCGTGTCTGATCGTGAACCGCTTGTTCAGGAGACAGCCTAGGAGTCGGTCTTCCTTCTTCTTCCTTACTGAGAATCTAATCACGCATCAAGTGCTGAAGGCACCTGTGAGACAGTCACATCTGACTTTCCTCCGACACTAGCCTTCAAGTCTGCGCTGTCTGCATCATCTACTTTCTGAACAGGCCATTGTTATGTTAAGTTTCATCTTAGCTTTTTATGCTTTTAGTCATACATGGCTTCCCTTACAGCTGAAGTCTTTACCTTAGCATCTGTGACCTCACCCAATTGGGACCCTGATTACTTGGCCACCACTTCTAGAGCACAACATCCTTCACTCATTCTGTTGTGGCCATACTGCTTTTTACTATTACAGCAAAGGTGACAATGTCTCCCTGTCATAGGGTTATGACTGCTGTGCTGACACCATGACCAAAAGCAAGCCGGGGAACAAAGGGTCTGTTTGGTTTACACGTTTACATCACAGTCCATCGCTGAAGGAAGTTAGGGTAGGAACTCACACAGGGCAAGAATCTAGAGCTAATGCATGCAAGGGGTACTGACTTGGTTTGCTCACTCTTTGTTACAGAACCAGGACCAGAAGTCCGGGGATGGCATCACCCACAATGGGCTGGGCCCTTCCCTATCAATCACTAATTAAGAAAATGCCTTGCAGGTTTGGCTGCAGCCCAATCTTAAAGAGGCATTTTCCTTTCTTTTCCTTTCCTTTTCTGAAACAGGGTTTCTCTGTCTAACACAGCTGTGGTTGTCCTGGAACTTGCTTTGCAGACTAGACTGGCCTTGAACTCACAGAGATCCACCTGCATCTACCTCCCGAGTACCGGGATTAAAGGCATGTACCACCATTCCCCAGCTGGAGGCATGAGGCTCCGGCCTCTCAGAAGACTTTGGCTTGTGCCAAGTTGACACAGAACTCTTCAGCACCTCCCTATGTCCCAGCACCTTGCACCTGAACAACCCTCCCACTGACTTCTGCAGTGGTCACTTCTACTTCAAGTTTCTGCTCAGTGTCACCCCGAGGAACACCTGCTCAGATCACACTGCCCACAAGAGGCAGGACTGAGAAACCACATTTGGACCCGCCTGCTGTGCGCTTCAGAGCACAACTACTTAGTAGTGTGTTGCTTCCTTCTTTCCCGGTCTGCTGGCTAGCTCTCATCTCTAGGTAATCTCTGTGTGTGCTCTTCACAGTACCTGAAACGATCTAGTGTGTGGTGAGTGCCCAGCAGGCACTGAGCAAGTAGGAGCCTATGGTTTATCTTCACCTTGAGTCTAAAGTAGTAAGGACTTGAGTCTATGCACTTCAACTTCGCAGTGCAGTCTCATTAACTAAACCTAATCTTAGCAGCAAGGAAGACATCAGCTTATCTCTTTGAATACAGATGTAAAACATTTCACTAAGAACTGAAGCATACCAGATGTAAAAAGAACAAAGAGAGATTCCAAATCTAGAAAAACCCTGTGTTGCTGGAGAGGAGCATATGCGCTGACTGCGAATGTACTCAGGAGAAACTGCTTGTCACAGATGCAGAAGAGGCCTGCCAGCACAGAGGGGCACAGAAGCAGTGCAAAGACACCGTGTGCATGAAAAGGCTAGGAGACACTCTTCGGCACAGCTCTGAACATCTTTTTTAGGCATCGAAAGGCACTTTTGATAGCCGAGAATCCAGAAATTGCTCATTCTGCTACGTCTGACTCACTGTTTCCTGTCAGTGTCTTCCCCAACCGGGCGCAGAAACCAACAGCGCACTGGATCTGTTTTGCCATTTCATTCTTGCTGAAGGGAATGGAAACTTTTTTGTGAGCAAACATGCAACATGCATAAATGCAGTGCTGCCTCAGGAACAGAGCAGGCGGCTCCTGGTCTCGTGCAGACACAGGGAGGATGCTGGCAGAAACTCTGGCCCACACCCAGGAAGCCTGTGCAGCAGAGGAATTCTGACAGGGTTTTAGTCAGTGTGCGCTCCTGCAGGCAGGAAATGGCGGAGAGAAGTGAAAAGGAAGTTAGGGTAAGTTCAGCAGTTTCCACGTGGCAATCAATGCGCCCCGCACTTCGCTCTCCCGTTCTTCTGTCAAACTCAGTTCTGTGAACTCTACAGAGCACTTGTGTTCCCAAGGACACGTTACCCTTGCAACACCGACGGGCAAGCTTAGGTGGCCTTAAAGCTAACCTTTCCTTACTGAACCTGGAGGGTCAGAATTAAGTCTCTCATGCCTCATGTTTTGGAGATTCCTTATTAGGAAAACTGATAAAGCTCCCAAGAGGCCTTAGTTCTCTTGAAGAAATGCATCCTTAAGAAACAGACAAAAATTATTGTTAACAGACAACTCCTATGGTTTTCTAGTTAGCTCTATTTCTTCTTTCACTGAGGCTAAAAAGGGATATTAACTATTCACAATTTGTCTACCTCAGACACACAGAGGAGCGGAAATCCTAAAATAAAAATTCTCCTTCAATTCAACACTAAGCTTACTATTATTTAACACTGGTTTCTTACTGTTCATCCCCAAAGCTTTAGCTTCACTGAGAAAGCAGGGGGCACTGGGTACGGAGCTAACTGTGAGAAAGCAGGGGACACTGGGTACGGAGCTAAATGTGAGCAGGCTGGGGACACTGGGTACAGAGCTAGCTTGCCTTCTACTTGCTTCAAAATAATCAAAAAGTTTTCATCATAAGAAAGTAGTAATTAAAATGCCATTATGTAAGTAGAAAATTATTTTTATAAAGAAAAAAATATTTATAAGAAGTGAAAGAAAAAACTTGGGACATTAATTAAGGAGTAAATTTTAATACGAGTCTAATTACCTGAAGTCTAAACCATGAATAACTTTTAATCACACGGCTAGGATTACATGGTCTATTAATAGTTTACAGGTGAGCACGCTGTCAGGCATATCCACTAGCTAAGGGCAAATGTCTGAAATTTTCCAGAGGACCCTCTCAGCACCAGCTGAAGTGAACAGTGAGTTTGTGAAGTCTTCATGCTTTGGAAAGACGTTTTCAATGCAATCTTGACCCTCACGTGCCATGTTACAGACTTGAAGTCAGCATTCTGTGTCCATGCAAGGCAAGTGTGTCCATACGACAGTGTTACACACCAACACACTGTTTGTCTGAAGATTCTTTCAGTTTAATCAAAGCAAAAAGTATACACAACTGTAACACAATTACCCCAGATCTGGCACATGTAAACACTAACAACACATAACAAAATTGCCAAGTATTTCAGTATGAAGTCAATGCCACACAGCCTCAAACTGACCTTAGAAATATGTCAGGGAACCTCTTTAAGCCAACCAGTGAGTGAATAATTAACTTTTTACATAATAGCTTACACAGTGGTAATCTAATTATCCATTCAGCCAATTTGCACTGAATACCTGAGCTGCCCAAGTCTTTCAAAGTGCAGATAACTGCTATTTACCTTTTACAAATAAAGGTTTACTATGTTTTCAGACTTTTAATGCCATGCCTTAATCTTCGTGATTGTTGTATATATTTGTACCGGCAATTTAAAAAGTCAGGTGCCAACTGTAATTAAAGAGAACCAAACCAAACCGAACCAAAACCATCCACCTGTGACTAGAAACGAGTGCTTCCCAGTGCCATACCGTGGTCTCTGAGATGGGCCCTGACCAGCTTCTTCTGCTCCAGGAAGACCGCCGCTGGACTCAAACCTCTTTGAAGCTTCACTTCTTCTCACTAACCGTGAATAAAAGAGAACGGCGGACGTGATAAAAATAGGAAAGCAATCTTGTCTAAAATGCAAGCATTTAGCAGAAATAAGGTAATGTGTGTGACTCACGATCATGCAATCAGTGCCAGGCTATGAATTCTGCTGAGGTTAAGTCACGTCAGTTTTGTTATTGTCATTGTTCATTTTCCTGTTTCTTTTTGGAGCAGGGCTTCTCTGTTAACAGCCCTGGCTATCCTGGAACTCGCTCTGTTGATCAGACTGGCCTTGAACTCACAGAGAACCACCTGCCTCTGCCTCCCAAGTGTTGAGGTTAAAGGTGTATGTCACCATGCCTGTCTAAGTTTTAAAGACAATGACTTCTGATGTGGGATTCCCCTCTGTATGCTGTGAGTATGTTTTATTATTACTGGCTAATAAAGAAGCTGCTTTGGCCTATGGCAGGGAAGAATACAGGTAGGTAAGAAAACTAAACTGAATACAAAGAGAAAGAAGGCCGAGTCAGAGAGATGCCATGTAGCTGCCAAAGGAGAAAGATGCCGGAACCTTACTGGTAGGCCACAGCCTGTGGTGATACATAGATGGATAGAAATGGGTTAATTTAAGATGTAAGAGCCAGCTAGGCATACACCTGAGCTGTTGGCCAAGCAGTGTTGTAACTGGTTTCTGTGCGATTATTCGGTGGCCAGGAAAGAAGCACCGCCTTTGGTACAGACGTCCTTCCTTTCTGATGAAATGATTATGTCACTGCTTTGTGAAACTGCTACTATTTGATAAACAATTTTAAAAGTAAACATTTTACAATCTTAACCTTTTGACAAGTTTTGTTTAAAAAAATATTAAAAATTAATGACAGTTGCTTCTTTAAAAAGATACTTTGCTTGCTTTAAGTGACGCTTACCTTGTCTGAAATCTGACTCCGAGGAGATAATGGACGGGCTTTCACTGGAGGTACTAAAGAGATCACTGTGGTAAGGTTTGTATCTTCGAACTGGTTCTAAAAGAATTTTTAAAATTTAGAAAGTTTATAGCAATGCCACACAAATTTAAAAAAAGAACACACTCAATCTTGATTAGAAAATTTTATATATTACTTTAAAATTGAACAATTAGGCTCTAGTGTAGGGATACTTTGCACACAGGTTGAAAGTGTGGATTCTGGAAACAGACTGCTTGGGTTTTGCTATTGTTGTTGTTTGCCAAAAAGGGGGTTATAGTAACTGCACATCTCATAAGGATGCTGATAGAATCAAAGGTTCTTAGGACAGTATGGATGTTATAGGAGCAACATTCATATCAGCTTTAGTGTCGTTCTCTATCATCTACTTACTGCAAGGGATCAACCCCCAAGAGCACAATCCAAGAGACTCCACAACATGAAAGGTAAGTATACAAACACACAATGCAAGAGAGGACATTCAGTTCTACCAGAATGGGAGGGGCGGAGTCAGGAAGGGCTCCTGTAGAGATCTGCTCGGACAGTGCCTCCTGCAGGGGCTAAGGCAGGGGCAAGCATGGACTAAAACAGAAATACTGTGCAAAAAGTATTTGTATCTTTTAAAGTTTATTTTATGTGTTGGGGGTACTGTCCATCCATGTCCTGACCCCTCCTTCTCCATCCTCATTGTCCCTGTGGGGCTCTGCCATTCATGTTCTGACCCCCCACTTCTCCATCTCCATTGTCCCCATGGGGCTCTGTCCATCCATATCTGGATTCTCTATTCTCTCTAGCTTCCTTTTTGCAGTCTTGTTCTCCATATAACCCAGCATATAGAAAGTGAGTTTGCCAGATTGGAAATCTGGGCACAGCACTGTAGTTCTCAAAAGCTTTTAAACTAGAGTCCTTCGGAGGACAGTTTATAAACTCCTTAGGTTGTTACTCAAGGACTGCCATCTTCAGATCCACAATAAGACTTGTAATATATTTTGAAAGCTGCAGATTCGGTGGTGAGAATCTGTTCGAAAGCACAAAACTTCATTCACAGCCCAAGTTTATCATACAAATATTTAAATCAAAATTTAAAAACTAAATTCATGTAGAAGTCTCATCACTATGTTTTTCCTCAAACAAATTCTTCACTTGCACCAGCACACTGCTGGTGAACAGGGCAGCAGCCCTAGTTACTCTGGAAACGCGTGCTGAGTCCCACCGTTTCTCGCCTGAACGCCCCTTCTCCTTTCTGCGTTTTATATATAACTCTGTAAGCTAAGCACTGAACTGGACATCTCTTTTCATACTTTCCACTCCTCATGCCTCACTAGCTGCTGCCTGTCCATCCCGACCTGCCCCTCTCACTAAATGATGAGGTCTTTCACAGAAAGATGGGCTGCTTCTTACATCTAGCACATGCGCAGAGTGCAGCAAGCACACGTTTTCTGTGTCAGTGAATGAAAACAAGGGTTACACTAAGATGACCTTCAGGTGACCTTGCAGAGAATCACTTTCACAGAACCAGCAGAACAGAAGGGTCAAAGGAGGGCAGGTGGGAAGAACGGGGAGATGCGCACGCGCTATTGTTTGTTTCCGTACGCTGGCGGTTTGGGGGGAGAGCTACTGGCCCAGGGGACACACTGCTCCTGTTTTCTAGTGGCTGACAAAAAGCTGGTTTTTGAAGTTGCAGATGATAGTCGGAAAAACTGACGGAAAATGTGCTGACGGAAATGGAGATGGAAAAACACAAGGGAGGCTTCACAAAGAGAAACAGCAGGCAAGAAAGAAGGTAAAAACAAAAATCTGAAATCTCAACATAGCAACATCAGAAGGTCATTTGGCAATAAAGGCCGAGTCACGGTGAGGGAGCCCCGTGGCTAGAACCCCGACACCAGGAGAGACAGCACCCTGGGAAACTATGATGAGGGTCAGCGAAACCCACAGGAATCCTTCATGTGGGCCTTGGCTAAGGATGCATGAATTTTAGTGACTTATCCAAAATGTTTTGTGGCTTTTTGTGGATTTTAGAGAGAGCAGTCCATGGGAAATGCCCTGAAGTGAAGCGAGATGGAGATGCCAGATGGCAGGAAGAAGTGAAGAACGTTTCTTTTCCCGAACAGTCTGCAGATTCGAGGCGAGGAACATCACACAATGAAGCGTTCATGCTAGGTTTCAACAGAGGTTGTACAAGAGGATGAAGCTAACAAATAAGGAAGAGGTTAGTTAAATGGCATCACAAGAGCCAGGTCAGTGGAGCCAGGAACTATGTGCTGGGAGAATCCTGGCAGAGCTGGAGTCTTGCTGAGAAAGAGACTTTAAACAAACATGGGAAGGAAGTTTCTATGATAACGTTCATCTGAAGAACAAGGCATCTGCTGCTGATGTGCAGACCGCCCCGCCTATGTATGGTCAACACGAGTTCACTCTCATCAATGAAGAAGGTTTCAGAATTAAGTATTTCCTAGTCCTCTGTGAACGACTGCATTTTACTACAGAGAAATCTCGTGGTAAAATAAGGTTTCAAATGCACTGGGTGAATATGAATGTGACTGAAAGGGCCATGAAAAATGAAGAACAACAAAAACAAACTCCAGAAGCGTCAATGAAAACAGTAGTGTTACCGAATACTACTTTATCGCTACAAACATAATAAATTATGCACACATTATAGAGTTACTTAGGAAGAACTGTTTCATTTGAAGGCACCAAAGTACTTTGGTTTTCTTGTTGCCAAACTCTCCTGCGAATACCATGTGGGATTTTCCAGTGAACCAGCACCAGATCACAAATCCAGAACTGCAAGTTTCAGGACAGCTAGACTAGCAAGGCCCAGGAGAGGACCTGGCCATAGAAACAACAAGCTCTGCTGATTCACGAAGCTAAGTAGGAAGGAGCAGCAAACCTGTTCGATAAACCGAGCAGAGAGGTTTCCTGCGCTCGGATGCTGAGCTCAGAACTCCAGCTTCGTGCTACAGAAAGCAGCGCACAAATCTACTGTTTCTGAACTACTTCTGTGAACCGAATCCCATTTGCTAGGTCTCATTTTGTGTTTATGTTTCCTATGTTAGCTTATAGCCTGTGCTTTGTCTTTTCTCTTTAGCCAGGGTTCCAACTGGAAGACAAAAGCAACTCTGTTCAACCTCCTAAAGCTTCTTGAGAAGGCACCCCCCCCACCCCGAAAAGTCCGCTGTCTCCAGAGGCTGTTCTCAGGGCTACGCCCAGGTTGGGGCACACCACCATGTTATGAATGAGCACTCTCCAAACACACTAGATGACTAGCTTTGTCTATAAACGGTAGGAAGACGTTTTCCTTCTCTACAGTGGGGGGAGGGCCATTTAAATGGAAGGGATTGATTTTGCGAGCCTCTTGTAGTCCAGTGTCATTAAATTGCTGTTAGCCACGCTCTTTCTATGCAGTAACGTGACAGAAATAACTAGATTAAAAGTCCCAGACAGTATTTTCTACGTAGTTTTAATTTTTAAAAGGTTTATAATCAGATTAAATTATCAGCTAGTCACGCTTACAGCAATAAAAAGCTTTACCTTTCTAAGTGTGAGCTCCCCTGCCCCTCTCTGGCTTTTCAAGACAAGAGTTGCTCTGTATAATCCTGACTGTCCTGGAACTTGCTCTGCAGACCAGGCTGGCCTCAAACTTAGAGATCCACCTGCCTCTGCCTGAATGCTAGGATTAAAGGCAAGGGCCACCACTATCCCATCCATTTCTAAATTATATAGCAACATCAGCCATTTCAGAAATGTACAACTGCATGTCCTACGTCAAGGCCATCGATGCTGGTTTGGAGAAGCCCATGCGCCGTGCTCACAGACCACTTGGGTCACAACATTTCTCAGCTCTGTGATGATCTACATGCCTAGGTCTCAGGAAGCACTGACCAGAAAGAAGAGGTTTGCTACCTCAGCTCTGGTGTGTAGCAGGCAGACAGAACCTACATATTTGTGAAGTGCCCTAGCATCATCAAACACCTTGTTCTTACAAGACCCAGGTGACAGTGATATTATCTTTGTTTCTTTTTTGGATTTTTAGACAGGTGTGCAGCCCTGGACGCTTCTGGACTCGCTGTGCAGACCAGGCCGGCCTCAAACTCACACCTGCCTCGGCCTCCCAAGTGCTGGAATTAGAAGCGTGAGCCAGCACAACTGGCAATGTTTTCTGTCCGTATCTCAAGGCACAATCCTAGCACTCTGGATTTGGTTCAGATCCCAGGACTGTAGTATTAATTGTGTAATTAAGAAAAAAGTTTGATAATTATGACAATGTTCAAATATACAGAAAAATAAATAATATAGATGTCATATACACTTTTCTCGGGACTAACTAGAATTTTAACTTTTATCAGACAACTTTGTGTTTGTGTATGTGTACACATGTCCGTGTGTGCTTGTGTGCACATGTGCCACTGGAGGCTAAAGGACAACCTTGACTGTCGTTCCTGAGGTGCCATCTATCCTGTTTCTTGAAACAGGGTCTCCTTTTGGCTTGGAGCTTTCTGATCTGGGTAGGCTGGGTGGCACTGAGCCTACGGATCTGCCTGTCCCCACTTCCACAGCAGTGAGGCCATTGTGCACCACCATGTTCTGCTTCTCTTGGGGGTCTACAAATTGAACTCAAATTGCCACTCTTGCAACACAAACATTTAACAACTGCAAGATAAGATGCTCCTAAAAACCTATTTATGGAGTATTACAAAGTTTTCTGGATACTAAAAATTATGATCATATGCAATGGGCTCCCCCTCTGTATGCTGTGAATGTCATTGCTTAATTAAAAAAAAACCAAAAACAAACAAACAAACAAAAATCTGTGTTAGGCCTGTGCAGGGCAGAATAGAGGTGTGTGGGGAATACTAAACTGAATGCTGCGGGGAAAGCAGGCGCAGTCAGGGAGATGCCATGTAGTCACCAGAGGAGAAAGATGAAAGTTGTCAGCTGGAACCTTGTCGGTAGGCCACAAACCTCATGGTAAAATATAAAATAATAGATATGGGTTAATTTAATATGTAAGAGCTTGCTAGAAATATGTTACAGTGCTTGGCCAAGCAGTGATT